AAAAAAAAAAAAAAAAAAAAAAAACAGTACCTGCCCACAAACATCATCGCAGATATCATCAGTCTTCTTGGAATTATAATAGCCCTCAGACATGGCGAAGGAGAACAACCCTCGAAAACAAAACAGTTCGTGTCTGTTTTATGTGTTTTAGTGTTATGAGTAGTACTCTTTTGCCACTAAGAAAATATCGAAACTAGATCAACCCCTTTGAGACCAAATTGCAGGAAAGGGGAAAAACCCAGTAAAGGCACGATCTTTTAGAGTCTCTCTATTGTAACGACAATTATAGCCGTTTGGTGTGGTTTTTTCGCTCTTTCGCCAGAGACACTCTTCTCTTTCTCTCGCTCTCTCTTCTTATAGAACTATTAGGAGGGATTTCGTTTAACTACACGCACGCCTTCCCCAATTAATTATTTTCTTACTCTAAATTCAAATTAAATATTACATTACTGTCAATTCACTGTTAAAATATTATTTTGAGTTCAAACAATTTATTAAAAATTAAATATCAATCACTAATAAGTTAACGTGTTGAATAGTACTGTGAGATTTGGAATAATATCCGCAGGAAGCTAGATTCTGTTGGAAATTTGTAATTTTTATGAATAAAAAAATATGGAATTAGATATGTTTTTAATTTATGATTTTTTGTCGATTTTTGTTTTTAGTTTTTAAATAAATTTTATTTGGTTTTAATCTTTAAAAACAAATTACGAATAAAAGCTTTTAATGTCAGGGATCAAAATGTCAATGGAATTTTTTTTTAAGACTAAATTAAAAGTTAGTAAAATATTAGGAATTAAAATTAATAAAAAAAGTATTCAATTACTAAAAATATAAATGAATTTAATTTATATGCACAATGCAAAGCAATTTATAACATCGATTTATCAGAAAATCATAGTAGATATAATTTTTAATGTGATTATTGTGAAGTCAATCTATTTATTATCCTTATTAGGTATGATGGTTTAAATTTTTCTCCTAAAAATAATTTTTTAATAAAATAAATGTTTTTTTTATACTTTTTTAATGTGTTTATTTACATTAATTTTAGTTATAAATACAAGTAATTTATTTGCTTTCTTTAAGAAGCAAATCTAATTTCGCAAAATTGATTTTTATTAAATCACTTATTTTTATAAAAACTTTTATTTAATTTTAAACAAACATGTTTATTATTTTGTGATTGATTAATAATAGAAGGAATATTTTATATTGTAAGTACTTGTAATATTTTCTCTATGTAAACAAATTGTTGGTCCAAATTGAAATTGATTTCCTTCATCAAAGTCTTATATCTAAGTATTATGAATGGACAAAACATGCTTGGGAGGGAATACTCTATTAAAGGTGGACAATCAAATTCTTCAACAGAGATCAGTCATTGACAAAAGAGAATCTGATGGTGAGAATGTGTTACAAATGAATCATAGTAAAGAGACATGATTGTTATGGTGGACAACAATGTGGAGTAGTGAATCTGAGTGGTTAGCACTCTAAAGGACATGCTTGACAAGGAAAAGAGAATTTAACCATTTTTAATTCGATTAGATTGATTTATGAACACCCTTACTCTCTACAATGTATGTATTATCCGTGTCAGTAATTTCTCTAAAAGTATAATAATGAAAGAAATAAAGAGAAAAATAAATAGAGATAATCTTTTCTCATTATTTTTTTACACATTTAACATATTTTCTTGACGGATATGCCCTTGATTGCTATATACATTTGTGACATCTTATGCAATTGTGCCATTTGACCAAGTCAACCATGTCATTTGAGTCTTTTTGACTTTAAGATATTTTCTCACAACAATAATAATAATAATAATAATAATAATAATAATAATAATAATAATAATAATATCAATATATGATGGAATATCTTGATGCATGATGTATGGAGAATATTATGAATACCAATACCTATCTAGATCATGTAAGGCAATATACTTAATGGGAGACATGTGATTCATAGATTGTCAAACTAAATTGCGATGGAGCTCTTTCTAACAACCCATTTCAAGCAACTTGTGGAGTATTTAGGGACCATAATAGTAGGTCCATACTAGCCTATACATATAATTAGAGGCCTTGTAGTGTTGTTCAAGCTGAGCTTTGGGGAATCGTTTATGAGATTCAAGTTGTTATGGCTAACAATTTGAGAAACATTCAAGTTGAATTGGATTATTTAGTAGCCGACCAGAATTATCATGTAAGGTTGCCGCAAAGTGCATTCATCTTTGCACTAGTGGCAAAGATTAAAAGCTCGTTATTGTTGGAGAAAAAGATATTCACTAAAAAGGGGGGGTTGAATAGTGTATATCAAAAACTCGCGCTTTTGCAGTGATGTAGTAACTAGACGAAACGTTGAAACTTGATCAAACGAAATGTTGTAATAAAACAAACGAAGTGACACATGTGATACCCATTCCACCCCAACACATATAGTAATAAAATGAAGAATAAATTATCAAAATTCTGGGTAAAATGGTTCACAAATGAAAGCTCCAAATAATTGTTTAATCAAAAAATCAAAATTTGAAAATAACAGTTTGCAATTGTACTTAAATAAAAGAGCTTGAAGCCCAAATACAATAAAAATTATCAAATAAAATCCCTCGCCCTGATGTCACACTATCAGAGCAACCCCTCGACTCAACTGTCGGAACATTGAGTGTCACTCACATCCAGATCTTCCTCACCTAAAAATAATCACAAAATATACAATGAGAAAAGAAGACATGCATATACAAATCACAATAGAAAAATTCAACCAATACACCCTCAATTAAATAAATATACAGAATTAAACCTCGGTCAATCATACTTCATATTATTAATTCTAAGTTCGTTGAATTTCCATTACCACATCACAGTTTAAGTATGCACCATGTCACACATCCAGCACCATGTCACACATATGCTTGTGCCAATGCATCACACATCCAACACCATGTCATGCACACACTCGTACTGATGCATCACACATTCAATTACTGATCATTCACATTTAACCACATTTATGTATCACTCATCCAAATAAAAACCATTTATACTCAAATATACTCAGTCAAATACACATCATTTATATCTATTCATACAATAGTCATTACTAGACATCATACGATTCACAATTGTCATCAAAATCCATCAATATAATATCATATTTCACAATCCCACATCAAACTCATTCAATCATGTCATAAGTATTATAAAAGCATCACTAATAAATCATAAACTATCACAAACATGCTAAAAAGGGATCCCAAAACGTCAAAATCGTAAAGTGAAATAGAATATCCGCGTCGGGCACTGTAAATCCTGACAGCTTGACCTCTACTCACTATTTTGATCATAACTTGAGTTATACACATCCTTTTTGCGTGATTTCAACGCCATTGAAAATATAACACACAAGGCTACAACTTTTGTGAAGAACACGAAGCCTAAAAATGTCGTTAATGTCACCTCGTATGGCTTACAACACAAAACAATATTTCGTGCACTATAATTGAGACTGAACTTATAACTTGCATAACTCAGTCAAGTTTTAACATTTTTACACGATTCTATAGTCTAAATTATAGCCCCAAGTGTCTATTTTCTAACCCAACAAACAAAACTTGATTTGGTTAATCACCCAAAAAGATATTACAAAAATAATAAGGTACATCCATAAGTAAAATCTCTTAATTATTCATTAATTCATATAATTAAGGGTGTTCATCAATCTACAAGAACCCTAACTTACAGAGCACATCCCAATGAATTCAATTATCATCTAGATCATCAATTTTACCAAAAAATATGACAAATACATTCATAAATCAATATGAAACCCGATTGAATCATCAATTTTAGGGTTAGAACTAAACACGGACATCCCTAGTGAGCTTGGAGAAGCTCGATAAAGATGAACTCAAATTGCTCAAGCTATAACACATCAACAGATCTTGCTGAGCAACAATATCCATATCTTGCGTGGAGATGGATGTATAGAACACTCAACCTTTAGAGGATTTGCATGCGTCAAAGATTTGAAGACTTGAACAAATACATATTTATGTCTTTACTTGCCTTTGGAATAGAAAGCACAGAGTCTTTGATATCCGAAGTACAAGTAAAGATGGGAAGCTGTAGACACTAGTTTCTATCCGGGATGAGAATCCAAAGACGGGAAGCTTCTACAGTAAGAGAAGTGACCCTCAAAGGACCTTGAAGACTTTGGAACACTTGAAGAAGGATTAGGAGGCCTCCAGGAGACATTCCAAGGGTCAAACAATCAAGAATCAAGCCTAGAAGCATGGAATCAAGCCTAAAAGGCTGAGAACAACCGTTTTGGTCATGAAAATGGTTGTTTCCATGAAGCACCAAAATGATCATTCTCATAAGGAGTATGGCCATTCTAAATGGGTTTTTACACTGTAAAATTGGGCTGAGAATGACCGTTCCAAAGGGAGAACGGTTGTTCTGCGCCCTTGAGCCCTATTCAAGCATTAATTCACTTGTATTAGACACACACTCTCAAATTTTGAAAATTTGAGTCCTTTACTCTCTTTAACTCTTTCTAGCATCTTTTGAGCGTCTATGAGGCATTTTGTAAAGCAAGGAGGAAGCCAAAAAGCTCATTCAGTCTTCTCTTCTTCTCTTTTATAAAACTTGCTTCGGAGGTTCCAAAATCTCCCTCTCTTCTTTATTGCTTTTATCTATTGCTTTCGTTAGGTTAGACCATAATGTAGATAGCTAGTTACAGTACGTGCATAATTTATGGGGTAATAATGTTAATCACTGCTTTGTTTTATTGATGAATTTGTCATAGGGTACTAATTCTAGGCGTTGTGGGGTGCCTAACACCTTTCCCACACGTAATCGACCCCCGTACTCAACTCTGTTTACGAAAACCTTTCTTTTTCTGATTTTTTAAGTAAAATATCGGTGACAACTCCAAGAACCTTTCTTAAATACCATTGATGGTGGTTTAGTCCAATTATCAAGAATTCCAACATTGATGGAATTTTAAATGAAAGTCAAGTAAGCCATCTTTTTTAGGTCAGGTTCCAATAGGCATGTCCTACACATACAACCATGGCCTTGACGAGTTCCACACATAAAAAGTAAGGGTTGAAACATGTTATTCAAGGTTTGGTGGGCTTGAGTTTGGGCTACAACAAAATTACTAACACTAAGCTTGCCCACTTGTTACTAGGGATGAGAATAAGTTAGGTCATAAAAAAGATCTATGGTCTAACCTATTTAATATAATGGTCAGATTTAGGCTTTTAAAAAAGTCCATTTATTTCAAAAAGTTGGACTTAAGCTAATAAAACCCTATTAGGTCTTATTGGTTGACCTATTTATCTATATAAT